AGATATAAAATTAGCCTCGCCATGTAACTTAAATATACCCTCAGCAAGATTACGTCCGACACCGCCGGCAGATTGCTTAGTTTGTATTTGATATGTAGCACCATTCAATACAGTTGGGATCTCATCGTTCATAGTTAATGAGAGATCCAAAATGGAAGCGCCAATTATCAAAGGAGCTTTATGCATTTTTTCTGTTTGGAGATATATATCTTTATATATATTATCTTTACATAATTCAACTGCAATTTGAGCGCCAACAGTGGCATTGTTTTTAATAAGAGCCATGTTAGCATTTAAACTTTTTCCTTCGGTGATTTTACTTATAGCTTCCAATAAAAATGGCGTTACTTGTTTACCATTTACATCTTGCTGTTCAGCTTTCTTATAAGCCTCTTCTATTGCTAAGGTAATTTGACCTTTATTTGCTGAATATTTTTCTGGGATTGGTACACCAATTAAGATTCCGCTATTTAAATCCAAATCATATAGGCATTTTATTAGATTAGCAGCTTCAACCGGGTTTTCTAAATTATATGGGGCTTTACAACCACTATCACGTGTATAGAAATCTGGAAAAATGCCATAATTTTGATATGCTGCCACACACACGCCTTGTGTTTCAAGATACTCTAATGTTCGTGGTATATCTAAAATTGACTTCACACCACTGCAAATGACTGCCACAGGCGTACGACCGAGTTCAATTAAATCAGCTGAAATATCCATTGATATATGCCCATCACGGTGTACACCACCAACGCCTCCTGTAGCAAAAACTTTGATGCCTGTCATGTGTGCGATAATCATAGTTGCAGCAACTGTCGTACCACCGCATTTCTGTTGAGATATTACAAACGGCAAATCACGTCTGGAGCATTTAATAACTTCATTTTGTTTTTTTGCAGCTAACTTTGCTAAATCGGTATTATTTAAACCGACTTTTATACGTCCGTCAATAATGGCAATCGTTGCCGGTACTGCACCATTAGCTCGTACTAACTCTTCTACTTCAAGTGCTGTATCGAAATTTTGTGGAAATGGCATGCCATGTGTGATGATTGTAGATTCTAATGCTACAATTGGCTTACATTTATCTAGCGAATATTGTACTTGCGGATGAATGTCGATCAGCTTTTTAAATGCATTAACTGTCGTTGAGCGTTTCCGCAAAATATTTAAAAATGCATTGCCAGTTTTCAGGAACATTTTATATGTACTATAAAAATGAATCACAGTTAATTAATAATTAATAACAAAATATAGAAAAAATAAAACAAACAAAAGGCACGCAAACATTTAAAATATATACAATCAAATTCCCCTCATGTTTATAGTACTGCAACGTCAAGAATTTGAATACTTTTTTTTATAAAAATCATACTATTTTTCATCGAACAATTGATAACATTATAGGGAATTATCGATAGATTGACATGAAGAGGTTACAGTTATTAAAAATTCATTTCAAATTAATAAAATGAGTTCAAAAATTAATTTGAATAAGTTGTAGTCAAAATATTGTTTACTTAGTATAGCGTCTATTAAAAAGATATTCTATTATATTTACTTCGTATTTATTAAAAAAATTTTTTTTTAAGATTGAAGAATTAATTACTGTGTGCAAATTTATATTTCGTTCTATTAAGTTTTTAATATTCGATTGCACAAATTTATATTTAGAAATTGTATTTAAAATTAAAACTTTTAATTGCATACTCTTTTAAAAAATTTTGATAATTAGTAATGTTAAATAAATAGTATAATTTATATTAAAAAAATGTTTGAATAAATTAAAATATCAATTAAAATTATTCTGATTTGGCACTTAATTCAGTATATTTGTGATTTACGAACACAAATAATATTTATTAGAATGGAAAAAACTGTATTTATGAAAGAATGAGCAGAGCAGACAACCAGCCACATTCTATGTGACTGCCCAGCCTTTATCTGGGCCAGGAGGAGGTCACTGGGTCGGGAATTTGCTCTTCCCTTCCGACATTAGGATGTCCTCAACGGCCGACATTTCAGCCTTCATCCGGAAGGCGGAATGTCCTCTGTTTCAGTTAGGATTCAGTTAGGGTTTGTTGTAGCACAAAAGATCAATCATGGTCGCAGTACTCTGCTCAAATGGGAGCTAGTACCCCGTTCTTTCTTAACTTAAGATAACTCTATGTCGTATATTATTCTTAATTAGTACTGCAAATTATTTTCTAATAGCTTCTTAAACATTGACTAACTATTATAATTAAGTTTTTAATAGTAATTATATGTATACAAATATGTATATTTATATATATAAAAAAATATGTGCGGGGCATACATTTCAGAGAGCAGCGTGCTTGTTTTGGTAAGAATGTCAGTCCTACAGTTACTTGATATGTTCATCAATTCAGGTACTTTTATAAGTCGATAGACTTAGTATCTATTTTTGTCAATAGATTTTTTTTTGTCTATCTACTCTTATTGAAATATAACAAGTGTTAGATAAACACCACTGTAAATTGTAAACTAATGGTCGGAATACAAATAAATTTTGATATATCTTATGAAAATTACTACATACATTAGAACAGCGCTTTCCAGATTAGATACGATCGGGGGTCATTGTTGCAAAAACTAGTACTTACGTCCATGGTTTTTTTTGAGGAACAATAAAAATACGATGAAAATGTTAAATTTAGTTTTATTTATTTAATTTTTTATTTATTTAAATTTATTCATTTGAATTCATTTTTTGGGATACTAATTTTACCAAAATATATCAAAGGAAAATTTGCGTAACTGTGGTAGATCAGAAACATGTAGCGGGCCGCATCTGGCCCGTTGGCCGTGCTTTGAAGAGCTCTGCATTATGATATGAAATTAATTCTTTTTTTTATTTATTTTTATTAAGAAGATTGAAAATTGCGACATTGGACTAAGAACAACTTATTAATATGTACAAAGTAAGAACTAATAGAAAATTTTAAATCCATACATATATAATTCAATACACCCAATACATACAATTATAAATAATTTTATTTAAAACATATTCAATAAAGTAATATTTTCGCTAGTCATTTCACAAAAACAGATTTCTTAACAAGAAGAAAATGAAAGTAATCTTATTGAATATTATTATAACAAAAACAGCTTTTTTAAAATCACATTCTTGTGACGCACTTATGACGTACCATATCTTTCGTGTTAATCTATATGTGAGATGAAGACACTGGTACTGTGTTTGCTACACAGTTCTTAGGGAACTGTTTTACCTAAAATACAACAACTTTTTTTAACATATGGTATACGATATTGAATATTGGTAGGTATTAAAATAAAATCAAAGTATATAAAAAATATTCTTGGAATATCTCAGTCTTCTTTTATCCTCTTAGTCCTCTTCTTAGAATATCTTCTAAATACACATTTAGTATTTACTTTTGAGTTATGACCTCTAACTAAAAATCGCTGCTGCAGGTGCCTGTGCGACTTAAAAAAATATTTTTACCTATATATACATTTAAATAAATTATTTTTTATATATTAAAAACGTAAATAATATATGTAAGTATTTTTATTATTAAAATGTGCTTTATACACATTTCAAAGTGCATTGTAATACGAGATATAATGATTATATGATGACTTTCAGTTTCACTTAGGAACGTGAGATGCAAGTATATGTTTAACAATTTCAATATAACATATATATACATATATACGTAAATCTCTCCCTAGGTTGTTATCAGTTGAAAATTTCTATAAATTGCTTCAACCTTTAATAGCTACTTTAGTTTTAAAAAATAGTTTGGTTGTAACAGTTCAAATACTGTGTGTCCGAATATTACATATTAACATATTTGCTTAGAAAAAATCAGAAGAAATATCAACAAGTATGCATACTTATCCTTGCAAGTCAAGTTATGACCATGTAACTAAAGTTTGGAGTGGTCCACCAATGCAGTTGCCTTACGGACCAGAATACTCGATTGGTTTAGCAGCACTTGAAGCATTACAAAAATATCCAGAACAAATTGGACAGGTATGTAAATTAATAATTTCTTCTTCATCCTATTTTGATCCTGTGTTATTTTGTAAATTTTTAAAAATTTTTTCTAATTTTGTGTATTATATCCTTTAATATCCTTATAACTCAAAGAATTTTGTGATTATCTAGGAATTTTAAAGAATTATTTAAAGTGCCGGACATTTACAAGTCCGTTCATTACAAGTTCATCACAAGTGTTCGATAATCAAGGATAAAGAATCTTGCTTCTATATAAATAATTTCAAAAAATTCCATTTGAAGGATAAATTTGATCAAGATTTTTTATAAAATGTTTAATAAATTATATTTTAAAAGAAAATCAAAGATAATTCAAGTTAATAAAAAAAACCTGCATTTTGAAGGATAATCATGGATTAAGAATTTTGTGTTTATTAAAAATTTTTATAATTTTTTTTAAAGTACAATGAAGTTAATAATAAATAAGTAAAAAATTTATTCTGTCCAAATAAATTACAATTTGAAGTGCAGTTAAAATTTAACAATTAAAAAAAAAAAAAAATAAGATTAATTCTAGTATAACACAGCAAGTGAATTTTCTAATTAATTGCGACAACTGTCAAATACGGCTTTGGATCAGTTGACTAATGAATGCTGACTCTGAGCTTTAAATTTGGCAGAGCACGAATTCAATCCTTGGTACTTCCACCCTTAAAAAACTATTTACGAATAATTAAATATAATAAATGGCTCTATGACCACTGATGATGGGTATTTGGCAAAAATTGTTGCATATATCTAAATTATATATTTTTATTAAGATATATTTTATAATACACTTTATAAAGCCCTCTTTTTAATTGCTACGTAAAATTTATGTAGTCTTATGGAATTAATTATTCGAATTAATTGGCTCCGAATTCGGACTGTTTCGAAATTTTTATTTATTTTAAAAATTAAAATTTTATTTTATTAAAAAAATATTTATATCTTGAAATCGTTTCCTAGTTCCGTATTAACTTTGTGATTATGTTAACTCGAATTAATTTAATTTTAAATATTTACATATTATATATTGTTTTCGATTTCGAATTTTTTATTCATTTTTATATATTAAAGAAATATAAAAATGAAATATAAATATTGATGTCTTGACATTGTTTCCTCGTTCCATATTATCATTGGAAGTATGTTTATTTTCACCACATTTGCTTTATATATTAACATATTTAAAAATTTTTGTTATTTTTATTTTATTTACATAGATTTCTTACCATAATGGTAAATCTTATACAAACAAGGAACTTGAACTCTTAACAATTCGTGTGGCTCAACATTTTCAAAAATTACAAGTCCAGCAATGTGATGTGATTGGCATCTGTGCATCCAATAGTGATTTTGTAGGTCCTCTATTTTTTGGTGCTATGCTATGTGGTCTAACAGTTAATACATTGGATCCCAGTTTTGATAAGGGTAAGAAGAATTATTTCATGCTATATGTTATAATCATACTCACTATTTTTTATTGAATTACTTTACAGATGGTATTAAACATATATTTTCGATTACTAAACCGAAAATGATGTTTTGTGATGGTGAAATATTTCAAAAAGTAAAAGCAGCTTTCGATGAATCTGGACTAAAGGCTACTATTTACACGTTAACTGATCACATTGAAGGAGTATCAGAAATAACTGAATTTTTGCAAAATACAGGCACTGAACACACTTACAAGTAATAAATAATATAATATAAATTAATATATTAATTTATATATACATATAAAAATATATAATATTCATATATATAATATTAATATAAAAAAAGATTTTGGGTCACCATTAGAATTTTTATTATTTTATTTTTTTAGACCTGAACCTCTCTTATATGGCCTAACGCAGACAGCAGCGATCTTATGTTCATCTGGAACTACCGGTCTACCGAAAGGTGTTTGCATGTCACACGAGAGCATTTTGAATGGGTTATTTATGTAAGTGTTCTAATATCTTTTACTTCCACTATTACGTATTTTAATGAATATAATTATTTTTTGCACTTACAGTAAATTAGATCAAAATGATCGAATTTTATCCTTCAGCACACTTTACTGGGTCTCTGGATTGCTGTTTCTTATCGTTGGCACTTTACGAAACGCAACTCGTGTAATTTCCAACAAACCCTTTAATGTTGAACATTTCTTCGACATTGTACAAAAATATAAAATTAATTTTCTATTTACACCACCATCGCAACTAGCTATGGCTGTAGCTTCTGAAAATATTAAAAACTACGATCTATCCAGTTTGGAGACCTATTTATGTGGTGGTAGTGCATTACCCTACAGTTTAGTAGATAAAATAAAATTGCATATTCCAAATGCTGTGTTGCTTTCAGGTTATGGTATGAGTGAAGTATGCGGTTGCATAGCATTGGGAAAGGTATCATCGAATGGTACAACTGGACAAGTTGCCGTCAACTGCAAACTAAAGATTATCGATGATGCAGGTATGTCTTTACCTCCTGGTGAAGTTGGAGAAATATGTATAAGAACACAGTTCACATGGAAAGGATACTATAATAATCAAGATGCGACCGATGCTATTTATACAAAAGATGGTTGGATATATAGCGGAGATATGGGTTATATGTCGGAAAATGGAAATCTCTTTATTGTGGATCGCAAGAAGGATATTTTGAAATACAACAATTTTCATTTCTTTCCAACAGAAATTGAAAGTATAATTGCGGAAATAGAAGATGTTTGTGAAGTATGTGTTTGCGGTATACCAGACATTGTATCTTCGCATTTGCCCGCAGCTGCTATTGTGAAGAAACCTAATAGTCATTTGACAGAACAGGAAGTGTACGATTATGTTGCGAAAAAAATGGTACATTTTAAACATTTACGTGGTGGAGTTTATTTTATGGATGAATTGTCAAAAACAGCATCTGGTAAAAATGTTCGTCGGAAAATTACAGAAATTTGTGAAGAACTGCATAATGCTGCAGTACATCAAAGTAATAATAAAGATTTTTGTGAATTTGAGAAAAGCATTAAAGCTTAATATTAATAAACTTAAATTTATCAAATAAAAATAATTACTGATATAAACTTTTATGTATTTAGATCCGATAAGTTAAAATAAATATAAGTCAAAATGCAAGAAAATAATAGTTTGATTATTATTTTGTATTATTCTTTTCGTTTGTTTACTAGTCTGTCTTGCGGAGAAAACGAAAATAGAGGCATTGAATTTCATTAACATTATATAGAAAACTTAATAAGGAACTATATTGCAACCAGTTATTAGTGAAGGTCGTCTTCAACTGGTACTGAGACAGAGATGTCTTTCAATCTAAGACAGAGACTTCTTTCAATCAAAGCTAATATTTATCATTTAGAATATTTTTGTTATTTAGTATATTTTTCCGAAGATATCGTTAATTAAGAAGATTCCAGGAATATAAATAATGTTTAATCTTATTTAAAATATTTTTGCTATTCCAGTTTAATGAAAACAATATAATCGTTCTATTGCTATGCATTCTTTTCTTAGGGTTTCAGTGATTATACTTTACCCAATTACATATTTTGTATATATTTATTCCTTGGGTATGGCATTTTGGACATTACTTTTTTAACAATTCGTCTGCAAGTGAGATTCTTATTCTTAACCCAACATAGTTGGATAATATTTTGGTTATAATTATTCCTTGGATATGGCATATTCGACCTTACTTTGTCAACAATTTGCCTGTAAGTCAGATTCATTGTAGTATATCATCTACCGCCTTACAAGCTTCGGACCACGAAACACCATTAGAATGTATGCTATATCTTGCTATAGATTTTATTTGATAAATTAAAAATAATTTCCTTCAAGATCAATTACATTTAAAATTAGGTAGTGACTCACACTATCAAATATGTCTTACTTGTAAATCATATTTTACAACAATACTTCTGCTTTTTAACATCCTTGTCAACGGAGTCCTTGCGGGTTCAATTATAATATAGTATCCAAAATTTATCTACTGATTTTCTCAGAGTGTGATTAAGTTCTGTTATTTAGTCTAATTATTATTAAAGAACCATAAACGCTATTGAACTCGTAATATGACTCATAATTTTCGGCAGTTACGAACTGATAAAAATGTTCTTAACAAGAGGAATAACTTGCAAAAAGTAAAAAATTCAGTTCTTATTTCTATATATCTATTAAAACCAGTATTAGTTATCGCATTCATTATTCAAATGAGTTCTAGAATTTGGAAACAGGGATATTGTTAGGTGCTTTAATTGATCTAGGTTAGCATAGCAGACTTTATCTAGAGATAGAACAATAGATTTTATTTCCTGCGATGTTTCATTTTTTTTAATATAAATAACAATAAATACAGGGTTTTAAAATTTTTGATACATTGATCAAACTAGATCATTATATGCTGTAGTTGCGCACATATATTCACCTTGTCTCAGAGACCAGTTTTAATAACTGACATAGAGGGAGTATCAATACCATATTTTTAACAACATTCTTAAACTTTATACTATTTCTAATATGATATTATTTGATAAAACTTTAATGCCTTTAAGTAATACATTATATATATCTTAAGTGTATTAGCTAGAATTATTAGAATATTCCATGAGACACATTTTTTAATTCATTTTATAGTTAATATTCCAATATATCATTATTAAATGTTTGGAATATAGTACAGAAAGGTGATAGTGGGATCGTATGAGTGGTTGGATGGGAAGAATGAAGAAATTTTTTATGGCACAGCATTCGTAGTGTTGTGAGTTCCTACCAAGCATATATAAGTGTTGACTCTTATTAAATAGAATATATATGAAGTCAAGAATGTAATTATAATATTAAAAATATTTTCTTAGGTAGAAGTACTTAACATTATTATGTATGTAATATCATGTTATATTTAACAAAAGTAAAAAACTACACGCAGACTTCACAAATAAAATTGGCTTATAGGGTTTGAAAATACCATATTCAAATACTGCCAAGTTTCTCGTCATGATGGTAGATATAGAATTTTGTTGGAAGAAACATATTTAAATTAAAAGAAAAGAATTTGATTTGAACATCCAAAGTATGTATTAACTTATGAAGCGGTAATACGTTCAATACTGTAATTTACAAGCTGTACATTTATAAACAGCTCCTCAAACCTATATATTATTACCGTACTATACTATTGGAATGCTAGTTGGATTAACGAAAATAAAATACGATTTAAAATTAAAATACCATTAAGATGGATATGGGGTCAGCAGGTTAACGGAACTTCAAACAGACAATAGGGCGACTGGAGGTCTAGACGTCAATACAAATAAAAAATTGAGATCAGGTCATTGGCACCGTAGAAAAAGTGACATGTACGAAGACCTTTAATCGAGAAAGAAATAGATACAAAAAAACAGCTTTGCATCCTACATTATTGGCAAAGGAATTTGCTTGGAAGATTGAAAAGATTGCATCTGCTTCATACAATAATAGTAACCGCTACATGATGTTTTCGATGTAAAGTATTGTCTATATATGTAACA